TGAATGTTAACCTTTCTTGCGCAGCTAGCTTTCGGACAGAGCAGTGTCCTATTCTGCCTTATAATGCTGCCAAGTGATTGTTAGAACTTCAGGAGGGAGGAGGAACACACAGCCACAAGAGGTGGAATCTTCCCTTTTACCAGCAAAATGATCCTAAACCGATTGCAAACTATTCTGTACTCGCAGTTTGCAAAAAGCAAGGAATGCATTTCAGAAGTGCTAGTGGAACCACCAACAGACTAAAAAAACCCCTCATACACTGAAATACACAAAATCCATTTATGTGCAATAAAAACAATAAGCAAAGGGCTTACAAGCTCTCCATGACCTCTCCTTGGCGCCTTGCATACGGACTCTTCTGAAGCTCTACAATCTCTGTGTGCAGAGCCATGATCTGCTCATCCAGATATCCAATATCTTCAGCCTAATGAGGAAATGTAGGTACAAATCAAACTGAAGGAGGAGAGCAATAAAGTAGATAAAGATCTCCAGAATCCTTGTTGGGTAATGGGGATAATGCAGTTTAGGAGAAAAAAGCTCTTTGATGTGACTGCTGCTACAATAATTGAGGTTACTGTCTTCTCAGTGCATGGTACCACCTAGATCCAAATCTCCCATAACCACACTGGATGAGAAAAGCCAGCTTCTTCATAAATCATATCTCTTCGAGGTGCATGCTGCACACACACGCTCTCCGGCTCTACGTATGTTCCAGCAGTGAAGATTTATTCTCCTACTCTTACAGCATGGACAGAGGGTGCTCTCACATTTTACCCTCCCGTAGACATTTTGGTTTGACATTTCTCCACTATTTCACTTACCAATCTTATGTCAAGCCCTCCCAGTAAGTTAGGTGAGGCAGCCAACAACAAAGTTCCTGAGCATGAAGAGTGGATATGCGGTGCCAGACAGGCACTGGAGATCCCCAGCATGGTAAGAAAGCTCTGGTCTCTGTAATGGGTCTTAGCACCATGGACTGTGGGCACTGATCTGCCTTCCTGAGAAAGTATTTTGAGATGTTTCAGCTTTTCCCGTCTGACCTGGGGCCGTAGGACCAGAAAATTTAACAATTTCCGGAACATACCCCTTGCTGAAGCTGTGAAGTACTTGGTATGAGGCTATATAAATGGGATGTGACCCCCCTCACCCAAAAAGAATGTCTGTAGGTCTTGCAGGAAAGGAATAAACCAAGAAGAAGATGCAGTGAGAAGCCACATAATCAAAGGAGAATCAGATTGTGAGGAAGAATGTGAAGTAAACCCTGTTATCAAAAGAAATGTCTTATGCTGTGTGGTCATGGTGCTCCGGATTAACTGTCTTGAATTCACAGAAGTTAAGCTGCCTGCTAGATAGACTGAGATACCACTGGGTATTACAGAGTAAAACATTTTCCATTCCTGATAAACAGACATGGTGTGACTATGCAAGTGGACTGCACAGCTTAAAAACAGAACATAATTCTGATGGTCTGCAAAGCAAATAGTTATTGAGATTCACAGTTTTCGGGGAAACAGCCACTCACAGCTTTGAGTTATTCTGCTAGAAGTAGCCTCCCTTTTATCTTTGTTGCTTCCTAAGCAACAAGAGCAACAAGATCCCACAATTTAAAGAGCTAAATGGAGGTGAATTTAGGTGGGAATCCCAATTCCCCTGATCTCCATCACATGAGCAAGCAGAATCAAGGCTCCAAGAACCTTTTGACTCAGATGAAGATAGGTAACGGATCCCAGAACCTGAACTACCCAGTCTGTTCCTTCATAGGGGAAAAAAACAGGCAATGTAATTTATTGTGTTTCTAATGGTGTCTGGGATTTTTATGTGCTCTGTATTACTATGAGAGCCGATACAAAAAAACCCTGCAGGGGAGAGCAGAAATGCAAGACATCAGCCCAGCAAACCACATGACACTCCTGGTCAGCAGAACATGCAATGTTCTCGGCACTCCTGTAGCTAGCTACTATCACGGAGCACAAAAAAAGAGAGTACTTTTTGAGATATTTTAAAGACCTCTACTCCAAGAAAAACATTACAAGTGTGCTGATTTTTCCTTGCATTCTTTCTGTATGTCACCACTTCTGAATGCCTCCCCCCTCCCAAGCTTTACTCATTACATCCAGCAGAAGAAACAGCTTTTGACAATAAAACTACGATCATCCAAACCCTGTGTCCCTAGTTTTCACAGCTAAAAGCTTATTCCTTCCCTATAAAGGTCTGGACAGAACTGTAGGCAGAATTATTCTGTCAAAAAGGCCTCTGTCTCCTCATTGTTTGCAGTGGAGGTAAAATTAAAATGCTCATTCCCAGAAAACAGAGATCAGAATTCTATGCAGTAGATAAATTCCAGCTAGCCTTTCTTGCAGAACTACCTCTCCGAGAAACAGAAAGCCATTACGTCAGCTCAACTGTCCATAAGCCATAGAAGAGAAAACATCTGTTAACTATTAGGAGTACTCAGAGTAAGACCTGGCTCTAGCTCTGCTCTAAATTTCTTAAGGATGACTCTTACTAAAAACTAATTTGCATATTTACTTGCAGAATACCAGAAATTCATTTCTGTACACCTAAATGAATGCAACTTTGAAATCACTGTACAATAAGTGATGGGTATTGTTTTCAGCTTTAGCAATGGAAATTTTTGTGTACAATAAATACAACCAGGAAGACCTTTTTTTTTGGCAATAAATAACATGTCTCTCTAGTCTACTTTCCTACACAGACAACTGAATCTAGTGACATTGGTGCTGGTTTTGTTCAAATCACTAGATTCAGACAACCTGGGGACTGGGGACTGTTTCTTTTTTAATGCATCTGCAATGATATTCTCATTCCCACAGCAGGCCAGGATGTGAAACACACTGAAGGGACAGGGCAGTGGCACACAGGACACTAAGTTCCTGACATGATCTCCTTCACAGAGAGATAACAAAGCTTCTTTAATATCCCCTACCTGTGCACACTGAGAGGCCTTCTCTTCCATCTCCTTCCAGGCTTTGAGCATCTTTTCTGAAGCTGAAGAGAGTTGTTAATTTACAAAAAGATATAGAGACAAAAATAAAGCATGACCTGAACTTTACATATATCAGTTTCAACAGAATTCATCAGAATTCCAACACAAAGAGCACGACATTGAATCTCCAAGCAGGAGTCATGACCCAGAGATCGCAGAAAGACAGCAAAGTTGCAACTTAACAACTCCATGCTCGACCTTAACTCACATACAAATCCTGCGGTGTTATTTCCCTGTTTGCAATCATTGGCCTAGAAAGAGTTTGAGTCTTTAAACTCCGCCGTTAAGCTCAAAAACTGCCACTTTTGATTAAGCACAGACTGTCCAAAACCAGTTCACCAAGTCTTTCCATTCTCCATCATCATCCTTCAGCCCAGTCATACTTTTTTGACTCAAGTTTTGTTTTTTAGCCATATATCCAAACTATGCATAAATCTTACTATTCTCCCCCAAACAGTATTTGTGACATTAAAACCGGAGCTGGTGCTTTTTCACCTCATCTCTCATCCTGACTCATGCTACCTCCTGATATCAAGCATCACGAGATCACTCCCCTAGCACCGTTCACCATGCCTGTTTGTTCTGCCATGGATGGTTAGTGGCCCTTCCACTGTACATCAAGTACAGCAACTCTGCCCTCCACTTTATGCCCAGTGACAACTCCAAATGAATCAGACTCTGAATGAATAAATAGCAAACGTTTACATCACCAGTACTATTAACATTCCAATTGTCTTAGCTTGGCGTTACCAGTGAGGAACAGCTGACCACCTGTTCTGCTGTCACTGAAGGTCTCAAAAAACATTTTATTTTTTCATCCTCCTGCCTCTGCTTCTGCCAAACTCTTCTCCTGCATCTGCCCCAGCTAAAACATACCCATAAAGATGCTGAGGAACACAAAGGCAGCTCCTGCATTCGTTTTCTTTAAAGCGAATTCTTACCCACAGCCCATCATAGCCAGTCTGATCCTGTAAAGATATCCAGGCAAGTATTACACAATACGTACATATGCCATAAGCCATCTGGTCACTGTATCTCTCCAGGTCGAGGCGAATGCTTTGCTGAAAGAATTCCAGCTTTGCTTTCAGTTGCTGAGATGCTGACACCATATTGTTTTTCATTTTGATTAGGTTGGCATTATACCGCAGAAGACTGAGCCTAAGAAATGAAACAAGAACAGCACGTGTTAGCTGAAAAGCGTAGTTGGCCTTATGTGGCCAGTGCTGTCACATTACCTGAAGGAAATACATAGCTAGCAAAAAATTTTGTAATATCCTTGGAACAGGGAGTCTCAGTGGGGTCACGGACTCCATCTCATGTCCTCGGAAGCTGCAGGTCCTCAGCAAGCAGAAGAGAAAGTCCTTCCTCATTTCCCAGTTTCTTTGTCAAGCTCAGTTAGACAGGCTTTGCAGTGTAGAGCATTTCTTAGCATTCACAGGCTCCTGTAGTGCACGTTGCCCCTGGTTAATGCTGGCACCTTTTTTATCACTTGAGACACATGACAGTGCCCACTCTGTGATTCAATCACAGGACAAAAGCCCACAAATGTAACAGTTCCACTCATTCTGCCACTTGTGAAACTGGGCTGCATTAGGAGGAACGTTGCCAGCAGGCTGAGGGAGGTGATCCTTCCCCTCCATTCAGCACTGGTGGGGCCACACCTGGGTCCAGTTCTGGGCTCCCCAGTACACCACAGGCATGGACATACTGGACAGAGTCCAATGAAGAGCCATGAAGATTACTAAGGGACTGGATCATCTCTCCTATGAGGAAAGGCTCAGAGAGCTGGGACTGTTCAGCTTGGAGAAGAGAAGGCTGAGTGGGAATCAAAATGTACAATTACCTGAGGGGAAGGTGCACAGAGGACGGAGCCAGGCTCTTTTCCATGGTGCCCAGTGACAGGACCAGAGGCAACTGGCAAAAAATTGAAACACCGGAGGTTCCCTCTGAACACCAGGAAATAACTTTTTTACTGTGAGGGTGACCAGGCCACCAGCCTGCCCAGGGAGTTTGTGGAGTCTCCATCCTTGGAGATATTTCAAATCTGTCTGGACATGGTCCTGGGCAACCAACTCTAGGTGACTCTGCTTGAGCAAGCGGGGGTTGGACTGGGTGAACCCCAGAGGTCCCTTCCAACTTCAGCCATTCTGTGAGTCTGTGATTATATTCAAGTTTTTTCAGTTATTATCAATGTCAGGCACTATGCAGTAAAATTCCTGGAGTGGAATAAGCTCCCAGCATAAATACGTTTAATAATGTAAAAGTATAGAACAGGAGAGGGCTGTAAAACTTTGGGTAACCAAAACTCCCCGAGATGTACATTTCCATGCAAACAGTCTCTCTATTTGCATAATAATGAATCTTCTGAATGAGGAGTAACAACTTACATGGCAGCTCTCTGGCCCTGGAAAAGTCTGCTATAATCTTCTTTTAGCCCAATCACGTAATGAACTGCTTCTGCCCATACCTTGCGCAGCTGAGGAATTGGCAGTTGGATTTTACTATCCTGTACTGAATGCAAGAAAAACACAATTGTACACAAATGAAAGGACAACTCTAGAAAAGGACTTCAGTGCTTACAACATTCCTAATTCCTGCTTCAGGTGCCTGAACTAAGGGATCAAGCCACATCAGATTGGCTCAATTTTTATGCGATGCTGCCTAAGCACGTATACGTTTTTCATTGTTACGGCTCCCCAGGTATTTGACAGCCTGCTACCGGCCAGGCAACAGTTCATGTCTGAACTCACAGCTACAAGAGTAACGATTTCTTTGAGCACTCTGGCCCACTGGCACTAGCAGACACGGGGCACACAGCATGAAACATGGCACAAGGCAGGACCCATGGCGGGTTTTATCCAAAAACGCTATCTAAAACACTTGCCCAAGCAAGCAAAGCAAGTTTAATTACTCCATTTAATCAACTGATACTGGTCACCATCATGATGCATGTTTCATCTGAAAATGTCTTCAAATCTTTTGTACATTTCCTCCTGGATTCCTGATATAGATGTTTCAGGGGAAAAGATGCAGGCCTTACATGTGTTCCTCTATCGAGACAGGGAACTGTCAGTACATGGCAACATCAGTAAAGGTTGTAAAAAGCCTTAGCTCCAAGAGATTCAGCGCAATGATGCCACACAATGAGATTCACCAGAATAAAGTAGCCCAGAACACAGGAAAAAAAACCCCAAACAATCAGAATAAACCTGAGTGACAGTAAAAGGAGACAGGGAAAACCAGCATAACTTCTGCAGAGCCAGGCCAAAGAAAATTAAGCTACTTAACAGTAACTGTATGTCACAAGGCATTTCCTTTACGTGCGGTATCCCAGTAGATGCCTCCAGTCCCTTGACATTATTTTTCTTTCATAGAGGTATACAAGGTCCTTCATACAGGTATATTGGGTATATATATGTCTTCATAGAGGTATATTAGGTCCTGCAGATGACTGCTGTCATTTCAGGAGAAATGTAAGGGAAACTGTAAGCAGAGAAGCAGCTTTAATGCAAGGTCTAGAAGTATACTGATGATGCCAAGGCCAGGCAGCAGGACCAGAACTAAGAGGGACAGACTGGAGCGGATCCCACCAGCATCCATGCAGCAAGAGACAGGCTCTACTAATAACTCAAGAGGAAGGAGGAGCCTGGACCCTCTCAGATGATTGTCTCTGCTTGGCGAGACCAGCAGTAGGATCAGTGCTATGGGGTTATGGACACATTATCACTAGAGCTAAAAACTGTCCAGAAGACGGTAGAAGAGTGCAGGTTTTGAACCTCTGCCAAGTGTCTCTGAAGACCAACCCTAACTCATAATCTCCACAGGGGAATGACAGCAGTTCTGCAACTGCTGGAACATGGCCAAACACACTGGCTTGGCTCTGTGATCAGAGCAAGATGGATTTCCTCATACAGGGCCTGAACGATCACCCGCATAGAGTGACCTGTTCTTTCACCTAGGCAAGACACAAGAAATGGATCACAGCTGAAATGCAACTACCACAGACAGTCCTCAGGATGTTGATCCAGGATTCAGAAGCATAAATCTAGGAGAGCTGTAGGAGGGCAACTGCTAACGAACATCCAAAGCACCCAGTCTCGAGACAGGACTGCAAGAAGCTGAAGCCTGTTTGTACCTGTGCACAGGGAGGAGGGAAGGAGGAAAAGAAGGGGTATGTGCACAACTTCTATAAATGCCAAACCCTGAGATAAGAAGGCCCATGACCCTTGGTACCGCCAAAGGGCATTTATGTGGGCTATCACTCAAGTTCTGCAAACATCTCCCAGCATTATGTCACTGCAACACGCTGTGAAGAGCAAGACCCTTTAGCAGAGCAGAAGGCTGTGCAAATGAAATCACAGTCCTCAAGTCAGAATCTTCTTTCCAGGATGTAGTGTGCAGACATAACCAAAAGTTTCCCTCTCTTAGCTACAAAATTAGGTTGCACGCATTACCTCCCAAGCCTTCATTCACATTGTGGTTCTGTTTAAGTGGGGAAATGCTTAGGTTCAGGTGTTTAGGCAGGGTAGATGCTGTTCAGTACACAGAATTTAATACAAGGGCAAAAACCTTAAATGAATTCTTAAGTTGCTCTATAGGAGAACTCCCAAAAGGCAGGCAATAAATCCTCTGAACCGTTACATCTATAAAATGTGGGGATACAGTACTGTAAATGAAACTTTGTTAGGCTGGTCCAGGTTCTCAAATGGTCCTCTTAGAATTAGACAGTGCCCTTCAAGATAACACACAGACATCTGTAAGGCGAATCTGCTTTCATATTACACGAGAAGCAGTGCTTTCAGCTCCCAGCTGTCCTCCAGCATACTTACCAATGTAATTTACACAGTCAGACAGACTTCGAGAAGCAAAGGGTCCATCATAGACAGTTTTACTTTTATCAAACAAATAGACCATGTAGCTATCCCAGCCTCTCTGGTGACAAAAGATAAAGAGAACATAAGTAAGAGAAATCCCAAACATAGCTCCTACTAACCCAGAGGGTCCTGGCTACATCACAAGCTAATTACTGTGGGCAGACACTCTTCTTACCAGGTGCCTTAAATAACTGATTTTGATAGATCCCACAGAAACACAGGACCCTTTGCTAGCATGCTACTTTACTTAAATATTTAGACAAGAGTATAACTTAGGAATCTGCTTACATTACCCGATAAAGGAAATAATGCTAGACCTCAAGAGTTACTACACTTACAGAGCAAACTGTCTCCAGTGGGAGAAGATTAAGGCAACTAATTTTCCCTAAGATTTTATATTCCCTGAGAACATGAAAGGCATTAAATGAACAGAATCATTCTTACTACGCCATCAATAACACACTGAGAAGCAGGTTTCCGAGGGTCCAGGCAAATCCCTGTTTCCAACAGCAGTTCCTGATTTCCAGTACTTATTCCAGTTTCAAACTCAATCCGAATCTGAAGGGAATGAAGGCTGTCCTCGGGATGCAAGAGAAATGAAACAATCTTGGCAGAGGTCATATTTAGGATGTGTACTATCTGTAAAGAGTCCAAGTTGATTACAAGTCACTGGCTATCAAAGACAAAGGACTCAAAGGCCTGGGAGGGAATATGTAGCAATTAACATGTTAAACTGAGAGCATGATTTGAGTTTGAATGACTACAATAATCAAGTTCTGCAGTAAAGCCCCACATAATAAAACTCGAAGTCTGGGCCTGTAACTTTTAACTTAATGTCAGAGAAAAATTACAGTCAAACTCAGTAATAGCCTTCACAAGCTATGCTGAAGCTCAATTACATCAAAAGAATGGTGAGAAGCTAGCAGAAAGGCCATCCTGAGCCTTGTTGTCTCTGATGCTGTCCAGTACTGCTCCCAAGAAAGGGAGTCCCATTGCCTTTAATCTCTCCGTACAAAAAAGCTGTTACATATCAGCACTTGTCTTCTCACCACTCTCATGGCCCTCTCTATAGTTTTACTGTGTCTGGGCAGAGACTGTAGGACCCAAACCATACCACAATATACAGGTTTAGACAAGTCCTAGTTATGGGCACAATATTTTGTGTTTCGGGCTTTTAATTCCTTTGGAATCCTTCCAGATCAGACAAAATTATCCTCTGACTTCTACACATGCTTGCCTCAGCTAGTCTTACTCCAGCAAAGCTCCGATAATTACTTGAAGGGGAAGAGTCAGGTGAATGTAATCTCTGTTCTACTACAGGGGCTATTATAGTACGTGGACCTGGAGGTCACAGCATCAGCCAATGGAGTTCAGGAGAACTGTTGTTAGCAATTATTAAACCATTATTTGATCTTGGTGAGTCCTTTCTGAGAAGACAGTAATATAGGGACAGTAATACAGGGTCATTCTTCTACTCCAAGTGTAAAGCTGGTGATTAATATTGCTGGTGGCATTTTGCCTTCAGGTATGTAACTGACAGGCTGTATATCCACTCACTTTCTGATCCCAACAAAAACATTCCTCATGATCCTGCAGCTGGATGATGCCAGGATTATAGCTTTGCTCCACGGAATATACTTTCTGTCCTCTAAGATGCTTTCTGTAGGCCTTTAAACCCAGTAACAACCCTTACCCACCTTCAAATTCAGTATGTGATCCATTATTAGGAAACACTTTGGACGACTGGTCTCAGGATCTAAACCTCCACCCCTCTGCTGTGGATCCCAGTTCAGCATCAGTTGCAACCAATTTTCTATCGGTTCTACAATTAAACTAAAACAGAAGGGCCGTCAGAAAGAGAAGGCAGGTATTCTACAACAGTCAGTCCACTTAGGAAACTAGGGTCTCACAACAGCAATAAGGTTACAACTCTTCCATTAGAGACCATATGCATGCAACATCCACTGAACACGTGTGAAGAACAGCGATTTTGCTGCTGTCGCTCATCCTGAGAGCAGGGAAAGCCTGGAAGGGCAGAAAAGCGCATACAGAGTGAGCATCCCCACTGCAACAACAATCTTCACTGACCTCAGCAGGAGCACACGCCCACCCAAAATACCTTGCGTTACACTTCTCCCTCTTCCTGACTCCTACTCATTGAGTCAAAAGTATCTTGACACATCAGTAAGGTGTGTCATAAACGGATAAGGGGGAGAACGGGGTGGTGTTTTTTTTTTCCTCCCCCCTTCCAAACCCCATCTTCAATACACATAAAATCAAATAGTTTTTAAAGCCTGCTCTGCTGAATAACCACCCCCATGCTGCAGAACTGCCTGGAAGGTTCTCTTCCACGTTTATCCACATGAGAAGCACCTAAGTTTATTGTGAAGAATGTCTTTAAAGTCAGTACACAGTGAAAAAAGCCCAAAGGACTGGCACAAAGCCACTTACTTCATTCTCAACACCAGTACTTTTGCTAGAAGCCTGCCAGAGCCAATAAGTTGCACTGCACTGCTGAGCACATCGAAAGACACAACTGCTAAGTGACAAATGATCAGAGTCTGATGGTACAGACCAATTAATTCAGGTTGAAGGCCCTCCTGGAGGTCTTCAGTCTAAGCCCTAGCCCTCAGCAGGGCCAATGTTGCAGCTACAGCAGGCTGCTCAGGACTGTGTCCAGGTGAGTCTGGGCAGTCCCCACAGATGGAGATCCCCCACTGCTTGGGGCCCTGTCCCATGGACGCATCACTAGTGCTGGGAAACCTTCTTCCTGTGCCCAAATTTCATTTCCCTTGTAACTTGTACTGTTGCCTTTGGTCCTTTTGCTTTGCCCCTGAGAAAAGCCTAGATCCATTGTCTCTGTAATGCCCAACTAGATAGTAAAGGACAAAATTAGATACCCCTTTGCCTTCTCTTTGCCAGACTGAAGAGGACCAGCTTCATGGGCCTCTCTTGCTCTTTATTCAACAGGCTCTGACCATCTTTGTGGCATCTGCTGGACTTGCTACAGTTTTCCCAACACAAGTACTAGAACCTTCTGCTTTCAAGCAGCAGCTAACTCAAGTACTTGATTTATGAGATTCAACACCATCAAGTTATCAGGTAGATATTATTCAGTGGCCTTGTGGTAATGTGTGAAAAGCAGTCACAGAGTTGACACTGCAAGGTGAACTGCCATCATCCCGCAGACTGCAGGGTGAACTGCCATTAGAGAGCCCAAAGTATCAAAAGAGAGCCATGTGGCTACGGGATATTCCTTAACAGCAAATGGTAGCTTGCCAGGAGCTTGAAACAGTCTTCCGGAGAAAGAAGGAACCCTTGGTGCTTGGGATAAAGAAGTCCTCAGTTTAAAACACAAGCCAAAAATTATCGCATGTAGCCACAAGGACATGCTTACCCGCAGAGGCTGTGAGGCTGTGGCAAATGGGTACTAAAGCGAACCTCCCCATTCATCTCTTCAGAAGCAAAGATGTGCTTTGGATCCTTCTTTTTGATTTTTTCATGCCTAGAAAAGAAAATCCTTTGTGGATATACTGACAATGTTACTTCTGTAAAGGGCCAATTGACTATGGCAGCAGTGAGAAGTGCCACAGCCTAGTAGCTTTAGAAAACAAACTCTTCCTTCAGGACAAAGACAACATTTCCAAACAATCCACCCAGAACATCTCCAAGCACAAGGGGGAAGTCCTTGCAGTTAACTCTGTCTCTGGAAACACTTCTGCACCTGCTTGCATGGTTTAGTGGTGGGATGGCAGGGTTAGGTTAAAGGTTGGGCTCGATGATCTCAAAGGTCTTTTCCAACCAAAGTGATTCTATGATTCTATGACAGCGTCAAACAAGAAGATCAACAGGTAACAATTCACTGACCACAGAGCAAGCCTGCAACGACAGAATCAGCCTCCACACATTAATGAGATGGTACGATTTGCAAGAGCCACCTGGCAAAACCACTGCCCTTATCTTGATCCCAGTGAAGCATCTTGTATTAGAAACACAGCATGTCACTGGATCCAGTACCAGCGAAAGCGCCACCATCACTCTGCCTTGGTTTCCTCACCCTGGCTCACTTCAGGACCGGTGTGAACCTTGCCTAGAGCTCAGCTGCTCCCAGAGCAGCAGGATTTCCCAGGGAACTCTGACAGTCGTTAGCCAGCTGCGAGGCAGCCGAACGCTTCTGGCTTCCACAGGCTGCCAGCCTGCTCTCTTTCCCAGTCAGCCCCAAATGGAACTGAACCTACATGCGTGTGGCCTGCGCTGGTCTCTTCCTTCTTTTGGGGATAGGGAAGAACTGTTTCTAATACCACTCATTCATTAGTTTTCTACTTCTTAAACTAGGAAATCAAGTTTTCCATGTTGGAAAAAACGCAACAAATATTGAACTGCTAAAATAATGAAATCCCAAGAATTAGCAGTTAAAAGGGAAGCTATTGCAACATACTGATTAAAATTATTTTCTGTTAGTACATAATTTTTTAAGCTAACACTTGCATAAAAACTCAAATTTACCTTTTCTCCTGTTATTATTTCAATCCTAACAGAAAAGCAAGCTTTATGTTTTCTCTGTTGCAGAATCACCCTTTTAAAAACCAAGCGTACAGACATTCCCAGTATTGCAATGTAAGAAGTGGAAATACAAAAATACGTATTTCTGCCCCTTCTTCTAGCCCTCAAAGAGCAAGCAAAAACCTCCATATGCAGGTTAAAGTCTTTCAGTCATCACTTTTGTAAAGTTACTTACAAACACGGAACTATGTGTTTACTACAGAAAATATGCTCTGTCTTGCTGTGTTATTTATCGTAAAAATAAGGAACCTCACAGTTTAGGTGAACAAAGAACTGTAGCACTCATTCCCCTTCCATTTTTCTGACACCAATATGCAGACTGGGTGTTTTGGTTTGTTTTTTTTTTTTTTTCAAATTTCACTTGTGAAGGAACTATTATGACCAGAGGCTACCACACAATGTAATAAGCACATACTACAATATGTATGAAGAGCCAATCAAACTCTCATTAATACTACTCAAGTATCAATGGCTACTGCAAAGCTCAGCAGACCACCAGCCTCAGCACCTAACAAATAACAAATTTATCATTCTGGTTCACACTGTCACCTCGCCACTTGCAGTAGCTGTCTTTCCTGTTGTCTGGCATCACCCTTTGCAGAATAAGTCTCTTACCAGGTAAACGGCTGTAGATTGTGTAAGAAAGGTCTAAATCCTGCAATGCACTCAAAGACCATCGTTCCAAAACTCCAGTAATCAACAGTAACTGAGTAGGATTTATTCTCAAACAGTTCTGGAGCCTAGAAAGCATCATAAAAAAACACTTTGAAGGTGGTATTTCAGATCATCTATTTTCTTGCATTTCTGCAGAGACAAAGCTGCATCCAGGCATGGCCCCCAGCTCCAGAGCGGCATGGGGATCCTGAGGCAGCTCCACTTAGGATTCCTGGTGGGTTGGGGCCTGGAGCACCCAACCCACAAGGAAACAGGAGGGAGCTGGGCTTGTTGGGTTTGGCTGTGGGGAGGCTGGAGGTGGGATGGGCTGAAAGGAGTCCCTGACCATGGCACAGGAAGGGATGGAAGGGGCCAAACTCATCTTGGAAGCGACAGGTGACACAATGAGGGGCAACGGCCCCAGATCACTGTCTGGGGGGTTCAGGTTGGATATGAGGAAACAATTCTTCCCCCTGAGAGGGAATACCCTTGGGACAGGTCCCCTGGAAGCTGCAGAATCTCCATTTTTGGAGGTTTCAGAGCTTGGCTGGGCCAAGCCACAGCTCCCCTGACCTAGTGCTGGTGACAGTCCTGCTGGAGGCTGGACAAGAGACCTCTGTAGGCTCCTTCTGACAAACACTTCTGTGATTCTATAAAATGTGGTAATACCACATCACTTGCATACATGAAAAAAAAGAAAAATCTTACCAAATATTGCAATGTTCCAACAAATGAAGTGCATAAACTTCCTTGATCCAGATCTTTTGCATATCCCAGGTCTATTATTTTGTGAACAATCTGTAGACAGTTTAAATAGTTCATCATAAGAGCAAATTCAGAGAAAAAACATCCACCAAACAAACCAAAATCTGTGCAGTGACATCCACAACACATACTCAAGAAGAGGAAAGCCAGAATGGAAATTCTGGAGAAAGTCCATGGCAAAGCTTCGACACGTGACACAGCGTTAAGGCTTGCTGTTTCATCACATAAGTTGGCACGGTCCAGCCGTCTCAACTAAGACTTGACTTTATTTAGAGCAGCTTGCCAGTTACAGCTTGGCCGAACAGAGTATCTAGCTTTTTATCTGTGATTTTTAAGTTATTTGTTTAAAGAGTAACAATAGAGAAAATTTTCATTAAGAAATCCATTAGGCTGACTCTCCGAACTAGCTTGATTTTACATGCATCCCTCAAAGCCACAAGCGTAGGGATATGCTACAATCTCGTATGATTCATATTCTGTTGCAGGCAGGGTTCTTGAACAGAAGCAAAAGCTGTTTGTTTTTAGTAACGAGGATTTAAGAATAAGCACAATAGGATCTGTGGCTTCAAGAAGACATACACTTTCAGTAAATCCACAGGGCAGTGCTCAGCCCAGTTCAATGACACAAACTACTTGTTCTCTTCTATGTCTCTCAGGCAAGACAAAGCTGCTGACAACTTCCAGAAATGACAGTGGGAACACCACTGACTTACCTTCCCACCTTCATCCTGAAGAACAATATTTTCAGGCTTTAAATCTCTGTGTATAATTCTGTTTTCATGCAAATACTGGATACCAGAACCTGAAAGACATGTGTTTGATTTAATAGAAAATAAACTCATATTGATTAAAGATACATCTGATAGAAATCTCATATCCCTGACTTTGGGGGTTACATCAATAGATTTTCATTTTAAAGCACCATTTGGAACTACTGACTTAAAAGATTCCTCAGATTTATGCTAGGACTCAACTAGCTCTGTTCCTCTGCTCTGCAGAAGTGGAGGTTGCTATGGAGTTCAGACCTCACGGCATAACCGCAGGTGACATCAGGAGACGGCAGCTGAATTCTTCTCAAACTGTAGAGTTACACAATGAAGCACAGCATGCAAACAAGCAGAACAGATCTCCAAAATGTGCAGGCTGCTTGAAACAGCTCTGCATGTCCTCTAGCCTAAGATCTTGGTAAATTAACACAAGATAACAAAAAGACCTATTTATATATGTGAGCCCTTGTTATGCTGCTCACTAAGTACAGCTTGGTCCCATCCATCACCTTTGCACCTGCCCCTTCTGTAGCTGCAGGCTGCTCTCAGACCCTCCTCAGCCTCCCTGCAATCAGACCCAACAAGCCCATCTTCTGATGGGTCGCATGCTCGAGGCCCTGAGCAGCCTTTGCATGGCCTTGCCAGGATCTCCACATCCTTCTGGAACTTGGGGCCAGATGTGGCCAACTGTAGCCAGATGTGGCCTCCCCAGTGCTGAGAAAAGGAGACAAATGATCTCCAACACTGTGCTAGCCACAACTCTAATACAGATCAACAGAACTGCTCTTCCAAAATGAGGCGCACTTGCTTTGATCACCTACCTAATTAACCCTCAGTTGAGAGCAAATCATTAGCCAGAAGATTGCTGGACTAGCCACAGCATGGTTGGCTTCCTTTTCTGCTATGCTCTTACCTACCTTGCTCTCAGCTCCACTCCAGTTTGTCATCTCTGTACTGTCACCCTGAGCAAAGAAAATTTCCCTCCTCCTAAGCAATCCCTACACAGAGCAGCCACAGGGCAACTTTGGCACTTCTCACTTTGGTCTTTCTTCCTGACTTGTGAAAGTTACGTTCCTTTAAGTAATATGCAGTTTGGCATCTCCAGAGCCACGAACAGAAACCAGGTTGGAATGGAAAACCGTGACCTTCACAAAACAAAATGTTTAGGTCACAGCAGCCTACGACTGACCGCTACATAGCTTTTACAATCCCATTCCACAGACATGTCATTAGTGCAAACTTCTTGTCTCTGTGATCAGCAGAGATACCAAGTCCTTCCTCTGCAAATAGAATCCTGATTTAACACCCTGTTCTCATTAGTCCCCTTTTCAGGGTCATCTGAAAAAGCAGAATGTTGTTACACATAATAAACAAACAAAAATCAAAACACAAGAAAGGCATTAGATTACATACCAATGTCACTAAGCAGAGAAAGTATTTGACTTTCCTTAAGTCCACAGCAGTTTTCTGGTTTGTTTAGCAACTACAGTAAAGAAAAAGGTGTTTAGACCCACAGTGCAACTTGTTAACAGTCAGAAACAACATCTTCCATCCCCTGCTGACATGACACAGAAAACAGCACAGCTCAAATGTAACTCTAATGAGGTATTTATCTTTGTGAAATAAAAGCATGGGGGAAAAAGAAAACAAATCAGACAAAATGAAAATTCATTGCACAGAGGTGGGGTTGAAAAGAAGATTTAGACTGCTAGAATAATACCACAAAAGCATGAGAGTCATCAGAAAGCAAATGGGCAAGAGATGCAGGCAGGGCCATGCGGCTGCAGGCAACAGGGATCCTGAGGCTCCTGGAATCTGCTTGTTCCTCATCTGCTGAAATTTGGCTTGAGGAAAATAAACGGAGTGACAAAAAGCAAAAGGAGTGGATATGCATCTAAGCCCTTGGCGTTCAGACATGGGTCACTGATAAAAGGATGAGAAGGGAAGCCAACAGGTTAACTCCTAAATTCAGCGCAGGCCACAGAAGAGAAGATCGCTGCAGTCATTTACAGCTCCCAGACAGCCCAGGTGGCCCAAAGCAATTGCTGCTTTAATCTGAACAAGCTGGCCACGGGCTCTAACAGAGCCTGTTTTTCTCAGCTTGCTGTACCCAAGTGATATTCCGTGCTACGGAAAAGCCACCCAGGTATCAGCAGTTACTGCAAGAGGCTGCCAAACACTGTGCAGCCACCTCCACAGTCACCCATAGTCAGTCCCCACTCCCATAACACTGCCTGAGCCCTGCGGGGTCTGAGGCACAGTACCAGCCACCCACCTCAAGGTCAGGCAACTTAAAACCAGCAAAGGGCATGTTCTCCGATAATGATGCTATTGTCACAGGCTACCCCACTCCACACAAGTCCCCTTCTTCAGCTCAGAGCACTCAGCTGCTGGCTAGCTCTGTCTTGGGACACGGTCTCCTTCCCGACTGCCCTCCCACAACGAGAAGAAGCTGCTTGACACTTCAGCATGCTGGCTTCTAGGTCGCCCACCTAGTTAATCCTGAGCTAAAAAGCAGATCATTGGTCTGTGGATCACAGGGGCGTCCACGGCATGGACCATGACCTGAACTCTCAACCCTGCCTCCACTCTGAAGTGCTTCTTTATCTCTCTTCTCCCTTGGCCTGAATTTTTCTCCCCTAGTGAAAGGTGTGGTAGACGCATCACCAAAGGAAACCCCCTCCGATGTCTTGACAACCTATCAATAAGCAGCTTCAGCAATTTCCCACACACGCCCTGAGTCAATCAGCGTGCGATCTGATTTTTTGATCACTACAACTGAAGGCTTTTATAGATGACTGAGGTACACCTCTGCACTGCAGCCACCCCTTCCACAAAGTATTTTCATGTTTTTTCCTGCCTCCCACACTTGAGGCACAACCAGTAGTCAAAGCTCTAGGGGCGGAGAAGCCAAACTTCAGCATCTCACACCTTAAGTTCTTGGTAGATGTGCTGAACAAAGGAGGAGAGGGGCAAAGTCAGAAATCAAGTTCAGAGCCCAGAACACTACCCTGAAAGAGCACAAGCGTAAAAAAGTACACGGCCCATAGACAGAAGCAGAAGCTTTTCCAGGCTTTATGGAAGACTGCAGATGCGCAATGACAAATTAAAAGCAGTGCAAAACACAAATGATGCCAAGCGAGTGTAAGAGAAAGAGTTAAAGAAGAGCAGGATCAGAAATAATAAAAAAAAAAAAAGCATATTTTCTTTAAGGCACAAAGCATTACATGCGATCAAATGAAATTAAGCATGTTACTTCCTAAATTGTCCCAGCATCTATGCAACATCTAACATTAGAAATTAAATGATCAAATACTACATTGCAAGCAGAGCTAACGTAATCCCAAATTTCTTTGCCAGGGTCTCCAATTTACCTTCAAGTAGTCCCAAAACTTACTGCAAAAATAGAACACACAAGCGTCACCAAGAATGTGGTCAGCTACGTGTGTTTGCAACACCCAAATGCTATGTGCTTATATACCCCCTTCCTTTCACTGCCAACCCTGCCTCTTAAGATAGTCCCTACTGTCTTAAACAACTTGGAAATATAAAACAAGGCTCGGTAAGTTACCAATACACTAGCTGCTACGGCAGATATGCAGTTATTGCATCCAACATCTGCTCACATTCCTCCAGTGCTATTTTACACACGTAACAAAAACAACAGAAAAATGAGCTTCCTGATCACTTAGATGAGGTGATTTCTAAGCAAACCTTAATCAGCAGGGATTTGCTTCTTCACCCCTATACAACGGCTGCTTCCTGAATCCAGCTGCAGTGGCAAGGGAGCACAAACTCTTATTGGGCTGTGCAGCCGCTGCCCGGGGAACTACTGAAAGGTTCCTTTACTCTCGGGTGTCGCTGCTTTGCAGAAGGGCCGTTCCCTGTTCAGGAGGG